ACGCGCAGGCTCAGCGGCCATGGCTCACGGGCCCAGCCGCTCCGCGGCACGTGGGATCTTCCCGGACCGGGGCACGAACCCGTGTGCCCTGCATCAGCAGGCGGACTCTCAACCACTGCGCCACCAGGGAAGCCCAGGGGCTATTCTTTTATTTCTTTTGTGTGTGTTTGCTTTATGATATTAATCAGTGAATATCTGAAAATGCTCATGAGTTTAACTGCATAAACACAATTTGTATGAGACCAACTTTTTTCTCCGTTCACTCTACATAAGTCATGGGCTTTTTTATATTTCTGTGCCTTTTCATCTACTTCTTTGGCCTGGTGAGCCCACCCCTCTGTTATTTGCTGATGAACTTGTGCTCATCTATCAAGATGTAGCTGACATATCATCTCTTTTATAAAACATTTTATCAAACCCTGCAGGTAAAAATCAATCCTCTGTCTTCTACTCTAATCAAACTCCGTTCACACTTCTAAAAATATATGGAGTATGATGTGCCAGGGACTGGACTAGTACTAATAAAAGCTAACATTTATTATGCATGTACTCTGTGCCAAGGACTGTGTTAAACGTGATACCTATGGTTTATTTAATCCTCCCAACAATTCTATGAGTGGGGCTATATAATCACCACTTTACAGAGGAGAAAGCTGAGGTACAGGTAGATTAAGTAAACTTACACATTGAATAAGTGGCAGAGACTTAAAACCAGGCAGTGTGAGTACAGTCGTAAAGGACTTCACATACCTTTATAGATGTGTGTGGCAGCCCTGAACTTGCCACTCGGATTTCCTTCAAGAGATCCTGGCCTGGGGATCTTGACTGACGGCCCTAAGTGCCTCACCTGTGCATCCATCACAGTGGCTGCTCCTAGCCTGTAAGACCAGCAGGGATGGGTACTAGCGCCAACCCATTTCTGCCCACTGGGTAATTCCTTTAATGGGCAACTTTTACTTGGGGAATCCCTATCCCTATTAATGGAAATCCCTATTAAAACCGTTGCATTGAATTGTTCACAGAGTAAGGCACCCATCTGCCTGCCAACTTGAAACTTCTGGTAGGTGGAAAGGACACATGAAGATGAAACACAAAGAAAAGGTTGTTCAATAAAGGAAAATGTATGTAAGAACACTAAGATACTTAAAATAAGTCAACAGTAAAGCAAAACACACACACACCCAAATAAGAATCTTTAGTATTAAGAAAGGAAGCACCGTAGGGACTTCCCTGGCGGTCCAGTGGTTAAGACTTTGCCTTCCAATGCAGGCGGTGCGGGTTCAATCCCTGGTTGGGGAGCTACAATCCCACATGCCTCATGGCCAAAAAACCAAAACATAAAAAGTAGAAGCAATATTGTGACAAATTCAATAAAGACGCTAAAAATGACCCACAGCAAAAAAAAAATCTTAAAAAAAAAACGAAGAACTGTATAATAATTCTGAAATTGTGTTAGCTGTAGTTTGAGTGTACTGTTGAAAACTGTTTTTGTTTGTTTTTGTGGGTGCATAAGCACGCACGTGTGGGGTGTGTGTGTGTGTGTGTGTGTTTCCTTCCATTAACTGACAAGCCATATTGGGTGGTTTTGGACCATTGCTTTTCCCCTTTATGAGTCACTATATATAGTGTGGTTATGTGTGTACATTTTTTGTGTAGTTGCTAATTTTTATGAATTCTAATGTTTTGTTAATTACAGTTGACTTTTCTTTCTGCAAAAAAAAAAAAAAAAAAAAAAAAAAAATCAGGCTGAGACTTTTTAAAAACTGGGCTGCAATCTAAGGCTCTTCCTATCTCATCCTTCCTTTTTGCTCTCTCTTCCTTGTGTCTGGCTGCACCTCCCTGCCTGTTCTTGCTTTCAACCTCTTTACCCTTCACAAGCATTTCTGCCAATAAGTGTTTTCATATCTACTCCTGTCTCGGTGTCTGCTTCTCAGAGGAAAAAATCTTAGAAAATAGGTGAGACATGATCACTGCCCCGAAGAACCCACAGTCTCTGGCAAAAGGGACACATAAATTAAAATATGTAGAATTCAATGTGATAATTCCTATAATTGCAGAAGATAGAAATTGCCTTGAGAATACAGGTAAGGAAAGAATTGTTCTGTCTGGAGTAGACAAATGTATATTGAGGAAAAGTGTAAGGAAGAGAAGACTTTTAGGTTGGATCCCAAAAGAATTGTTAAAATAACAGAGATAAGGTTATTTCAGAAGGAGAAAGTAATATCAGCAAGTACACAGAGGAATGAAAGTGTTTAATACGTTTAGGAAATAAGTTACTCATCCATTCCTGGGAAATTGCCTCACTGTTATCACACTTTTTTAAACATCAATCTGTATTTATTGTACATTATAAGTGCCAGGCACAGATAGATCGTCAGAGGAAGATTCACAAATTTAGATATGGATGTGACATGAAAGGTTCTGAGAAAAACAGAAATTGACAGGGAAATAAGAGGCTTTCTTGCTCCCCTTATTTTCTTTCCAAGAGACAAAAAATTGAGAAGGACCAGTCTGGGGTAAACTACATGAGAATGAAGGCAAGTAAGTGTTGACATACTTACTCTGTGGATCCAATCCTGCTGAGAAACATAAAGGGTGGTGCATCCTTGGCAGACACAGTCCTGCATTTCCAGGGGAAAACGTGCAGCCTGACTATTATAGGTGCGCTAGGTGTTGAAAATTTGGAAACTCACAAACACAAGTGAGAAACAAAAATCACCCATAATTCTATGGCACAGGGCAGAATACACAATATGTGGGTGGGTGGGTGTATAGAATATGTTTGAAATAAAGTGCTAACACAATATGGAACATTTCATAAACAGCTTGTATCACTTAATGCTGTATTACAAGCTCTTCCTACTACTGTGAAAATTTCTCCTGCCTTGATTTCTGAGATATTTTTCCCTTTCTTTTCCTGAACTTTCATTTTTTAATCCCCTCTTAACTCTTTTTTCTTTAATTTTTAATTTTATTTATTTTTGGCTGTGTTGGGTCTTCGTTGCTGCATGCGAACTTTCTCTAGTTGCAGCGAGCGGGGGCTACTCTTCGTTGTGGTGCCTGGGCTTCTCATGGCGGTGGCTTCTCTTGTTGCGGAGCACGGGCCCTAGCCGCACGGGCTTCAGTAGTTGTGGCTTGCGGGCTCAGTAGTTGTGGCTCGCGGGCTTAGTTGTCCCGCAGCATGTGGGATCGAACTTGTGTCCCCTGCATTGGCAGGCGGATTCTTAACCACTGCGCTACCAGGGAAGTCCCCCCTCTTAACTCTTGAGGTTCCCTTGGGTCAACACTTTTCTTCATTCATTCCACCTGGTCTTCTAGCATGGCAGGGTCGTCATTCCTTGGTCTCCACTACTGCCCACACGCCAATAGCTCCCCTCACAACTGTCCTTATAAACCCCACACCTATGGTTTCTAAGTACGTATTAAGCATCTCAACTTGAATATCTCACACGTAACTCAATCTATCAAAAACTGAACTCCATTCGTGACATGACCCTCAAGCCAACTTCTTTTGAAGCCTTTCTTTTTTTTTTTTTTTAATATATATTAATTAATTTTATTTATTTTTGCTGTGTTGGGTCTTCGTTTCTGTGCGAGGGCTTCCTCTAGCTGTGGCAAGCGGGGGCCACTCTTCATCGCGGTGCGCGGGCCTCTCACTATCGCGGCCTCTCTTGTTGCGGAGCACAGGCTCCAGACGCGCAGGCTCAGTGAAGCCTTTCTTTAGTTTTTAGAAAGTATGGGTTACATACTGAAGCCTTGCCTTCCCCCTCTTTCTCACTCTCAGTGTCCACTGGTCACTGAAGTGCGGTCCGTTCTGCAGGCAACCATTTCTCCCATCATTGCATTCTCTCCAGCACTTCTGATAAGGCCTTTGGAAGAGGCCCTCAGCATCCCTCACCTGTACTGTTGCAGTAGGTTCTTAATTTGTCTCCATTATATCCACTCATACCTACATTAACGAGTGAGTGCAGGATGCAAAATACATTTAAGAATAGACTATATTTTCCCAAGAAATTTGCAGAGAAGAGTAAAAAAAAAACATTTAGAAACATCGAGAGGAGACAGGGTTAAGGCAAAGTTTGTTTTTTCATGTGGAAAAATTTAAGAAATATTTGTAGACAGCAAGGGAAGGAGCCAGTAAGCCTACAGTATGAAGAAGCGTAAACAGGGCACATTTCCTTGGAATGTGGGAGGAAATAAGGTCTCAGAAAAACCCTTAGAATCTGAAGAAAAAGAAGTAAGAATGGGTCAAAAACTGTATTCGAGGCCAGTATGAAGGGACTAAAGGTGAAAGAAAGAAGGGACAATGAGACCTTTCTCTTTGAAAAGATTGGTAAAAGCTTGTGACAACTTGATCTTGAATGCTGGTGAATGGAAGTGAGTAAGGATAAGCAATGATCTGTTGCCACGTTCACCCTTGTCTCCCATGCCTAGCACCATGCCTAGAACATGGCACGCTCTCAGTAAACATCACAGAGATTAATCTCCACGGTGGCAGAAACCAAGTCTTATTCATGTACCTAACCCTGTCCCTTGTCATCATAGAAACCCGAGTCAAAAGAATGAATTGGTCATTAGAAAATTACATAAAACCATCATTAGCCACATTCTCTGAAACTGGAAGCTCCTCATAACTCTGCTTTTAAGTTGAACTTTATCAAGAAGAAACAAAGACAGTTCATGTTAACCTCAGAGATTCATTAATTAAAGCAATTCTTAGACTATATGTGTTTCATTAAAAATGAGGCCATTTCCTGATGCCTTACTGACAGTATTGTACAATGAAAATGAAAGCTAAATTACAACTCGAAGCCATAAATAGTCTTCATTTTTTAAGAATGTTACCCAAATAATCATTCTTTAATTGCTCAAGACAGGAAGCAAAATAATATTTACAATATTTCTGATAGACGTTACAACCAAAAAGAGATGCCTCTAATAAATTCTCAAAAATCTATTCTGTATGATTTTGAAGTGCCCCATGTGATCAATTAGTGTACCTTGACTCTGTCTGTACGGCTGTTGAAAAGCCCGATCCTTCTAATGGTGCTGAGGATGGGATCGGTGGAGTCATCAATCATGTTGTGAGTCGTCACTGGGGGCAAAGATTGCCGCTAAAGGAACAGAGAGAAGAAAATGTCAGTTTGTGAAAAGAATTAACAAGTGTGACTAATTTCAACAATAAGTCATTGGCGACATGATATCCAACCTTTAATGCCTTCTGGTCTGAGATGCCACTAAATTCTTTCATGCCACTAAGAGGAGGATAACAGGGTAAAGAACTTCCTTCCCATACTGTGAACACACGGTACTTGTGTTTTTCACCTGCAGCCACTCTATGAAAAGCCTAGACTTCTTGAGCGCTCCTGGGACTTATTTGGAGTAAATGTCCTGGAAGCTTGACTCCAGATGAGCTACTCTGCTGGTTCCCACTAGGGGGCTGTCCTCTGATGCCTCGCTGTTAATTGACAAGATTCCCGTACAAGCCTAACACACTTATCTTTCCTTTTTTATAATAATTCCACTCGACTGAGAAACATTCACCTTTTCTCTATAGTGACTCGGAATTCTATGCTTTTTGAAAACTTTAGGAGGTATTTTTGGTGTCATTGCAATATACATCGTTTTTCGATTGGTTCCAAATGAATTTTTAAAATAGATACAAAGACAAGTTCCATGAAATTTTTTTAAAGGAGCACTGAAAATACACTGAAGAAAGAGAACTTACAAAGGAGTCATTTAGGTAAATACCTAAGAATGACTTTTCTAGCTCTCAGGTTTAAAAATTTCTTAAATCAACCCACTCCAATGCATTAAGATATTGATCTAAATGGACTTTAACAACTATGGGAAGTGATGGGCACTTTTTCCTTTATTACCTGAGTTGAAAATATGGCTCTTTTCATAATTGTCAGATCGTCTCGATCCAAAATATTGTTCATGTCAGGAATTTCTCCTCTGTGGGGAAAACAGTTTTAATAATAAAAATAAAAACAGCTGGCACTAATTGAGCGTTTCCTAAGTGTTAGACACCGTTTCAAGCAATTTAAAAATAAATGTTAAGTAAACAAAGGTTCCTGATGAAGCTCACAAATTCCTAAAGTTTGAGGAAGTTTGATAAAAGAACACCTTTGCTAGCATAAAAGAAAATTGAAATTAATTTTTAAAGCATTCATGTTGATGATCAGGAGGACATTCTCATTGTATTTTGCCCACCCCTAAGTACTGTGTTCTACAGTGGCCATAACTTGTCCACCTATAAGTTGATATTTTTACCGGTAACAAGAAATGATGCACACCTGTCACCACGCATCAGGAGACAATACAGTTTTCTCTTCACATTGTAACAAAATCCATATATTTTGTACATATTATTATTTTATAATACATTTTAATTTGATTTTTTATTTAGATTTTATTTTACTTATACATTTTATATATTTTATTTATTATTTATTTAAATACTATATATTACTTATTAAGTAAATGTGTTCGTTAACATTAATTAATATGTTAATTAATAAATATATGTTAATCTAATATATAAGTAAATATTTATTTAATATACATGAAATCAATATATATTTTGACTTAAAATCTCATGAAGGACTTCCCTGGTGGCTCTGTGTTTAAGAATCCGCCTGCAAATTCAGGGGACACGGGTTCGAGCCCTGGTCCGGGAAGATCCCACATACCGGGGAGCAACTAAGCTCGTGTGCCACAACTACTGAGCCTGTGCTCTAGAGCCCACGAGCCACAACTACTGAGCCCACGTGCTTAGAGCCCGTGCTCCGCAACAAGAGAAGCCACTGCAATGAGAAGCCCGTGCACCACAAAGAAGAGTAGCCCCCACTCGCTGCAACTAGAGAAAGCCCTGACTCAGCAACGAAGACCCAATGCAGCCAAACATAAATAAATAAATAATTTTTAAAAACCTCATGAAACCTCCCTCAGCTTCAGACTGACATATTAACACTTAATCAGATTTCCATTGAACTAGAACCTATCTGTATATATAAATATGTTCTCATTTGTGCAAACTGTTTACAAATATTTGTCAGAGGAAGGATTAAACAAAATCTGCTCACATGATGTAAAACATCTTCAAAGGCTATTAATTCCTTTATAGTTGGAACAAAATAAATACAATGTCTAAATGGTTAAGTCTGAATAGTGAAGCCCTAAACGTTTGAAGTGTTCAGTGCTCCAAGCACCTACCTTAATAATGCATCATACAGTTTCTTTCCAAACTTTTCCTTCACAGAATGTGCAGTGTCCCTGTATGAGCAGAAAGATTCACAACTTAAACAATGTCACCATTTTACGTCTTTCTTTGCCATGACAGTGCTGTTGTTCTGTCAGTGCAGTCTTTGAAATTACAGGTCTCTTTTGTATCACCTCTTCTGTTCTTTTCCTATTGGCCAGTTTAGCCTGAGTTAAAACCTCCAGAGCTGAGGCAGCTGAACACCCTGACCAGTGCAGAGAATGTAACATTTTTTTGCTTGATGATAATCAGGAGAGGGTTGGGGGAAGGGAAGGGGAGTGGATGGAGGTATCGATGTAATATCAGGAATACGCTGATAATTGTTGAATCTGGGCTGTGGGCAGGTAGGGGAGCATTATACTAATCTCATTACTTTGGCATATGTTTTAACATTTCCATAATAAAATTCTGTTTTAAATTCAACCCATCTTTAAAAATAGCTATAGAGGCCTTATCCTTCCATGGTAGCTCATTCCAATGTTTCTATATTAACACAGTTTTATAGGCATGACATAATCTAATATTTAGTAGCCCAATGAGAAGAGAACCAAGTAGTATGTGTGCTATAATAATCTTAATGAAAAAAACAGGTTAAGGAAATAGATCAGAAATCATGCACTTAAAAAAATCCCTTTAGGTCTATTGCTTGAGAACATGTACAAGATGTGAGGTTACCATAGCTGTTTTCGCACTGCCTGGCCTTTCAGGGTTTCCACATTGAAATTATTTGTCTTGGCAGGCATAATGAAAAACACCACCACAGTGACGTCACTTTTATGCATCTAATGAAGGATTAGAAAACACAACAGAGTCAACTATCAAAGACATAAACCATGTGACAGATGGACCTTAAACCGTGAAAAAGAGTGCTTTGGATATCTTGAGATAACAGGAATACTTATTTATGATTGACCAAAAATTACACCCACTGTCTTGAGGCTTTTTCAGAAGTTTTAATTTAAATATGGCATTCAATCAAGATTTGTCAATTAACAATTTAAAAATCCACACATAGAATATTTTCATGACATTGATCATCTAAAATATAGAGCAATTGCTATTGATATCACTGTGCTTTTCTGTGGTTAAAAAAATAACATAAATGTGAGCTAATATTCTTTAAAATTTCAGGTTGGAAAGTTAATGAGGATTTCATTTGGGTTTATTCTATTTCTTATAGCTAATTTACATGGATTTGCACAAATAGATTATTTACATTTTTCTGTTAAATGTCTTGATTCTCATGATGTTGCATTTTGGTTTTTTTAGCCCTAAAGTAAGGGAACGAGCATGTGTCCAGAACTTTCGGTGTGGCAGGCGCTGTGTTGGGTGCTTTAAATGCATAACTTAACCCAAGCCTGGTAATAACTGCACAATAGCTATCACTCTCCTCGTTAATTTCAAAAGAGAGGCACAAGAGTTTCAAAATTTTGTCTGAGCTCCTATCAGAGGTTATTGGCAAAACTGGGAGTCAACCGGTGTTCTTTTTGATTCTACAATCTGCTTACTTTTCCTATTCCAATAAATACCATTGACCTGTAATTTCTCAGAAGGAAATGTCATGCCAAACAGCTGTGGGAATGAAAGCATAAACTTAAAACTGTGAACAGATGAATGCTTTTGTGTTCTGAAATGACTCACTCCTGAATGTGGGACACTTTACCATCTAATCTGTGGTCTCTACCCTCTAGGACCTGATATTCTATTTGAACATTTACAGGAGCCATAGAATAGGAAACTCATCCCACAAGTAGCCAATGTGCCATTAAAGAATAAATGTACTATATGGAAAGAGAATGCCTTCTTTTAATTTCTCCAAAGACTGTAATTGTCTTTGATGTCTAGAAAAAGAGAAACTGGCTTTTTCTTGACATCTAAGAATAAAGTGAATAATTAATAAAGGTATGAATAAATTGATTAATAATGTCTCTAAACACAATACATATTTGATATAGTTGTGAGTCCATCTGTAGAGCTTGTTGAAAAGATACGTATCAGGAAATACTGTGAAGTAAGATTATTGCAGTTTATTCTTGAATAATCTTTCTGACCTTCAATCCTATTTCACAGGCTTGGGTTTTTATTAATGTGGTTTTAGTAAATCTTTTAGCATACTTGGTACAAAGTCTGCTCTAAGGCAAGGCTAAATCTATGTCCAGGAAATAAAAACTGAACTGGAGAGCAGTACGGAGCTCAGGAAAGTTTAGATTGTCTCAGTATCTCAATAAGATTGGACTTATTGGACTAGTCTCCCCTATTTTCCTGTTACTTATTCTATATTTTTATGTGATGGGATTCGAATATAAGCCAATAACTTTCATCAGTAGCTATGACACGGTACTTCTATTTGCACAGGTTTTATTGCTGGATTAGTTTGGAACCTATAAAGCTCCATCCTCTTGAGCAAACAATTATTCCACCTTGTTGGGATGGGAATCTCCTTTCCCTCCTTCATGTTTCTTTGTGGTGGGACCTCTCCTAGTTTCACAGTTCAAGACTTTCAATCTCAAGGAAGAGGCATGGCAAGTGAGTTGGGATAGGAATAGTTTTTGTAAGTGTCTTCCCCATTCTACAGAGGAAAACTGCTTGGCTGTCAGCCGTGTTGCACATGTTCTTCTGAAGACATGCTCTGGTTGGGGAGGATGGCAATGGCCAGAGCTGCCTGTGATTGGATGTCTAATACCAAGAAGTTTAATACCAAGGTCCAATATTAGGAAGCCTATTGATGCCATACACCCAAGCCATATCTTCCGTTATAGTTTTTATTGGTTTTAAAAAAGGTGAGGTTTTGTTCTCTTTGTTCTCTGTCTGCTTGATTTCTCTATATTTATCTTTCAATTGTTTACAATTTGGGGACAGGTGGGAAAAGGGATGCTATATGGTCGTCTTAAAAATAGCACATATAGGGGCTCCTCTGGTGGCACAGTGGTTGAGAGTCCGCCTCCCGATGCAGGAGACACGGGTTCGTGCCCCGTTCCGCGAAGATCCCACATGCCGAGGAGCGGATGGGCCCGTAAGCCATGACCGCTGAGCCTGCGTGTCCGGAGCCTGTGCTCCACAACGGGAGAGGCCACAGCAGTGAGAAGCCCGCGTACCACACAAAAAAAATAAAATAAAATAACACATATATAACCTATAATGGAAGAGAATGTAAAAGAAAAAGAATATGTATATATTTATATATGTGTATAACTGAATCACTTTGCAGTATACCTAAAACATTGTAATCAACTATATTTCAATAAAAATGGAAAAAGTTAAAATTAACATAAAAATATTCTTTTAGAAGCATTTCCAATAAAATTTTGCTCCTATGATTCTTGAAAAGAAACAGCACATATGTGATAAGCTTGTGGCTCTCTTTAAAAAATACCTGACATCATAGACAAATACACAAGCGAACAGTGTGGCAATCCTAATATGTTAATTGAAAGACCAAAGTCACTTTTAGAATAAGGCTGTCATTTTAAGTCTTCAAAATCGTATATTCTTTTGAAATCTATTTAAGAAGCCCGAAAGTTCTTTACTTCCCACAGAAGAAAGTCCTCCTATAAAAAAAATACTGTATGGCGTTCTAGATCATTCTTACCCTCAGC